ATACAAATGTATAATTTGCTGTGTAACTATGGTTTTTATTTTCATCCATGAAATAAATAAGAAGTATACGTCGCGAACAGAAGTATAAACAAAGTAAGTAATAAATAAATAAACTTAAGATCATATATGAATGATTCTACGATACATAAAATCCCCCATATATATATATTATGACCGTTATCAAAACCACATTGTAATATTTAATTATCATTTATGACGTTAACATTTTATTATGTTGATGGATGAATATGCAATTAGCAAATACAGTAGTGAAATTACTTACCGTGCCATGCTGCACTGATATAACCTCTAACAATTGTTTTGCTGTCATTGGCGCTTTTATCAACAAGCTTCAATAACATATATTTAAATATTCCTGTATCGATATCTACGTCAGGAAACTCTTTAAGATATTTAGACATCTTTGTGGCAAACCACCGACTATTAATAGGAACACCTAAGAAAAAGAAAAAAGAAAAATAACGAATTAAGCAAGATTATTTGAATTACATTTATTTCTGTATATCAACTTGTCTAAACTTTTCAAACCTCGTCAAAAAGTGTAGAACAAAAAGTTTAAAGTATTTTTTAATATATAAATTAAAAATTATTATATTTTGAAAATAAAATTTCAACATACTTAATTGATTTGAAGGCCGGTTAACCAAAAGGTGCACTTACTAACCTTGATTAGAAATTATGTACGCGCGTAGTATACCGAGGCGGTATACTAGCGCCTTTCCTCCATATACGGGAACCATTCGAATCAAGATTTTTATATATCGAGATATTTATATATCGAGATATTTATATATTCGAGAGATATCAGTCTTATATATGGCGTTCAAAAGTGTATTCGTTATTAATAATAATAAATGTTATATTTTTTTGTCGGCAAATTCGAAAAGTATATATAAATTCTCTGGATAATCTTTGCCTACCGTCCTGATTCCCCACTTCGAAACTAGCGACATCAGGTATTAAATTTAGGTATTAAAGAGAATCATAATCTTAAATTTATAAACATTTATTTGGTTATTATTGCAAGAATAATTAACACACGTTAATTATTAAAAAGATATTTATAATAGAACATAATTAATATTACGATTTAAAATAATGTCTATGAGACCTATCACACAGCAATTAGCATGCAAAGCAAGCATAGGTTATAATTTATTGAATGGTATATTTGTTATATATAAACCAGCATTAATACATTTTTTAAATGTACGAGAAACTATATTACAAAATATATGTAAAGGTAAATATAATATTAATTACAAATCTAACTCCAATTATTTCATTTATTTACGAAAAATAATACTTTTTTTTATAGACTTAAATGAAATGAATGTTAGACCGCCTACTGATTACGTTGTGATCGAAGGAAATACAAATGAAAATATGAATGTTACTGTTCGTCCTAATTATGCAGACCATCCATTAGTTGTAGGACCACGTTATCAAGAAAGAGATATTACATTTTCTACAGCTAATCTTTTAAAGCCAGATAGTTGTGGTGTTTTAATATGCGGTATCAACAGTGGTAATTCGTTGATTCACAAAATTAGAGAATCAAAACCAGCACGGTTTTACAGACTCAAAGGTATCTTAGGACAGGCAACTGTTAATCAATTTAAAACTGGTAAAATAGTTGAAAAATCTACGTACGAGCATGTAAAAAGATTTCACATTGATAAAATATGTGCCTCGATGCAATCTTCTCATCAAAAGAAAATGTTCGAGTAAGTAGTCATTTGTATATTTATATATAATTAATACATTAATAACTTCTCCTCATTGCAAAAACTAGTTCTCATTTGATCACTAAAGTTAAACAACGATGGACATAGTATTCGGATAGATGACCATCGTGGAATACCATGTACTGTTGACTCTAAAGAGAAATGTCGGGGATGTGAACAATATAATTAATATATGATTTGAATAAATATTTCAGATTATGTGGAGTCGATATCCAAAGTCAAGAAGCATATGAATTAGCGGTACAAGGTTTGATTAGGCCAGCTGATTCTAGAATTCCTGTATTATATGAAATAAAATGTGTAGATTTCCAACCTCCAGAATTTACGCTTGGTAAGATTAAATTATTAAATTATAATAATTAAACAAACTCTTATATCGCATGCATATTATTAATCAAATAAGATTTAATTACATATATATTATTTTTAGAAATTGTTTGTATCAATGAGTACGAACAATATTTAAAAACGTTAATTCACGAGCTGGGTATGGAAGTTCGCTCTACAGCTACTTGTACGCAAATACAATGTTTCAAATATGGATTATTTGATCTACAACATGCACTATTATCTAAAAAGTGGGATATGTATTCTATTTTAGATAATATGAGACTGTGCAGAAAAATATTAAAAGAAAATGATTATTTGATAGAACAAACTAGTCCCACTTTGGTAGAGAATAATAAATAAATTTTGTTTAAATAAATACATATTTCATATATGTTCTATATATAGCTGTTTGTGTGTCAATAGTCTTACCTCATTGAAAAAACTAGTTTTCATTCGATCACAAAAGTTAAACGACATAAGCATAGTTAGTACTTGGATTAATCACAACTTTGCAATACCGTATGGTGTTGACTTCAGAGAGTAGCATCAGTGTTGTGAAATGATGTTAAAGTTCCTCAAAACTCGTAAAAGATAGAGTAATAACAACAATATATTTTATATATAATAAACATCATCGATTATATTTTTTAATACTTAATATGCATACAATTCTTCTATAAGAAAATCAAAATTTGCATACCTTTTATTTACTTTTCTTATTCGAAGATCCCCATAAACGTAGAATATTTGTAATTATTTTCAATAATTGTTAGCTCGATTCAAATATTTCATGAAATGATAAGAATTTTGTAGATTCTTTTTTAATGTTTTATAAAAACATGATCATAACACGATAAAATTTTCTTTTTCGATCAAAGCGAATGAACATATCACAGATCTTATGTTTTACTTTTTCTGCGATGTTGGCTGGAATCTGAATCGTCTGATCTATCACTAAATCTTGTAAATTTATCTTTCATTTTGTGTTTATTTGGCCATTGTTGCATCTTCATACTTTTTGCTATGACTCTCTTTTGATGATCTAACTGTGGAAACAGATCTAAAAACGAAAAGAAAAATTTGACGTATCCTAATAATTTATACGGATATAGATAAATATTCAGAGTAACATTTCGAATACCTTGACTTTTCTCAAGAGCTTCTTTGGCAGAATTCATTTCTGCTTCTTGAATACTATGTCCTGATGCCTTGGCTAATCTTTTTCCTTGGAAATATACAGCAACTGTATAAACTCTTGTATTTGTTGGTCCCTTGCATTCAATTACTCTGTAAAAATTTTAATATAATTAATAGAAGAAAAAATTAGAGTTTAAGTCCTTTGTATTAATTTGTACTTACTTGTATACTGGTATATCTGGCTCGCCACCGTCCATCGTTCTCAAAGTTAAACAACATTGTTGTAATTTGCTCTTAGGATCATTCCAATCTTGATTCATAATAAAATCTTGTAGTCGTGGGAAGAAGCAGACATCACAGAAAACATGACAATATTCTAAACCTTTGTCAACGTACAAGGCCCCTAAGAAAGCTTCTAATAAATCTGCTCGATCTTTAGTTTTCAACTCTGCTTTTGGATTTCCGTAAAGAGCATATTTAGTCATTCCTAAATCATCACACACAACTGCTTGCGTTTTGTTATTTACAAGTGAACTTCTTAGTAACTATTAAAAATAATTTTCTAAATAATTAATGAGTCGCTGAATAAGTTTAAATAGATAAATGTATAAAATACTTACAGATAAATGTCCTTCATGATGTTCGGGAAAAAATTTATACAAGTATTCTGAAACTATAAGTTGAAGGACTGTATCTCCTAAAAATTCTAAACGTTGATTTGAACCAAGCGTTAAATTAGTATATCCGATACTACGATCAGTAAATGCTCTTGCTAAAAGGCGAATATGACTGAATTCTATACCAATGGATTCTTCAAACTTTGTTAGTTTCTAATAACATAAATAATTCTTATTAATAATTAGTACATAATACACAATTGTTTTATATACATTTATTATTTTATTATACCTGTAGTAATTCAAAGCTTGGAATCCATTGTCTATCACCTGTCGGTTCTTGCTCCTGTAAAGGATGTTTAGGATAATTAACCCAAATTTTGGCAAGATCTTCCTCATCTTTAAAGAGAGTTTCACCAAAAATTCTATCCGCTACTTCTATTCCTCCATCAAGGAATAATGAACCCATAAGTGCTTCAAAACAGTTCGCCATTGCATGTCTTAATTCTAAATCATGGCATAAATCGCTTCCATGCGCGTAAAGCATATATTCCTCTAAATTAAGTTTTTTTGCCAAAACAGCAAGGTGCTGATTCTGTACAATTGCTGCTCTGTACGTAGCTAATCCACCTTCCTCTAAATCAGGAAACATGTGAAAAAGATGAATGGATGTGAGAAATTCGACGACTGCATCTCCAAGAAATTCTAATCTTTCGTTATGAGCTATGGAAGATTCTGTTTCTCGCCTAGCTCCAAATCTTGACATTATGTTAATTAACGTATTTATACCCCGTTTACGTGTATTCATGTAATGTATTCGACGATCACCATATTCTGGCTGTCTTATTCCACAATTAGTTAATGAATTTCTAGCGTGATCTGGATTTGTGCCAAAGTTTTCTCGATAACTGGGATGCGTTAATGCAAGTTGAAGAAGGTATCTGTTGTTAAATTCATAACCCAATGTACGTTCTAGATTATCCAAAGATTTATGAAATCTTAAGTGACATACAAGTACGGGTATTAACATTGCGTGTTGTACTATATCACACATAATGCCTGTTCTATAAAATCCTTCTGAGCTTACATCGACTGTAACATTACGTTTCATTTTACTCTGCGTTCTCAATTCTTGCAATTTATTTTCTTTTGCTTCGAGTTTTCTCTTATCCTCGAAAGATGGTTTAGGCATATTAACTAACAAATGACGAAATTTGACGTAATCTCTCCATGCTTTTTGATAACTAAAATAGAGAAATAAATAGTAGACGAATAATAAAAAGAGATGTTAATAAAATGATTAGAAAAATAATTCATCAAGTAAATAAACTTACTCTGCATTTCCAGCATAACTAAGCTGCGGCGGTCTTATACCAAAATGTACAATTTCAGGATAAGCAATAACTCCTGGTGGTTGATCAACTTGATTTCTATCCAGTTGATCAACGCGAACGCTACAAGGTTTCTTTCCAGGATACGTTACAACCATCCCTTTAACTTCATCAGCAAAATTTTGCCACTTATATTGTGGCATTTCAATTAATCTAGGTAGATCTTCTGGTTCTATTAAAAGAGTACTACTTTTTATTAAATAGTTTAAAACCTCATTCATTGATAAAATTTCTTGTCCGTTATCTGCTAAGTCACGTACAAATCTTGGCATAAAGTGAAATTGTCCACAACCAGATTTATCTTGGGCAGCTTGTAAATCGAAATCTACAAGTTCTAATATTTCTCTGAATAAATATGTTTCTAAAAAAAAAATAAAATAAAAATAAAATAAAAATAAAAGATGTACATTATGACAATAATATTAAATGAATCTTTGTAATTACAGATATTACGATACAATATACTTACGAAAATAATCTAACTCTTGTATAGTAAAGTTTTCGGGCAGCTTTTCATCTATATAAAGAATTGTGTATTCTATGTTAAATCTTATTACTTTGCACGTTGGCAATTTAACAAGAGGAAAGTGTGATAACATAGAAAATCCTTCAAATATAAATTCATGCTCGTCGTGCTTGATAATTGTTGGCGTTTTGGTAAGAAAATTAGTCGGAGGACTGATTGTTATTCTATAGTGATACAATTTATCAGCATTATTTGAATTAATATTGCATTTATTTATTGCACCTTCGCCCGCATAAATTCCGTGTCTTATACCAGATCTTCGTGATTTGGCACTGCACCTACACAATGGTCCATCATTCATCTATATAACAATGCAAAGTTTTTCGTATAAATAGAAATGATAACAATGATAAAAAAACCATTATTTTAATTTTCATTGATACTATTCATTAAACGTTACCTCTCCAGGATCATTAAACCACATTTCAGGATGTAATCTTTGAGGATGTTGTTTCTTGGTCATTAATTCTTCCATTGTTCTGTCATCCTCATCCATAGAACTATCACTGTCCGATGATGAACTGCTACAAGCTTCTGATTTATGCTTGCACAAACGAGCTTTAGTTTTTCTTGGTGGTGGCTCATATGGAGGCTTCAAAAATAATAATATAAGTTAAAGATGATTTATCTTGATTACATTTAATAATAATCTATTTAACATACTTGTAGTGCTCGTGCCACAGCTGCTCTTTCTATAAGTATATCTTTAAACAGATCGCATAAATCACGCAACTTCTGCGTACCTATCATTATCTTCGGATTAATTTCATCTCTCGTATAATACAAGTCAGCTGGTGCAGTACGGGTCCAAATTTTACGTTCGTTTTCCATTATACCTTCTGGACCCATCGCCGACAATTCATCCATTTTTCTTTCCATATCTTTGCTGGTCGCGCAGTAATTCCGCCTATTTAAATAAACTTATATATACATTTATTCTTTCTCATATTTATATAGATTTGATTACTATTTACTTACCTATATTTTTCTAGTAATAACTCTCGTTCAGTTGGACATTTTGATTTTAACATCGAACTACTACTATTTGGACTAATTGTTTTTGAGGATCGATACTCCGGAGATCTTGATCTTCTTCTGCTTCTACTACTTGCATAAGATCTTTCAGAGGACGATACATGACTGCCATATCTTTTGTATGAACACCTTCGTTTTGAATCTCCATTATCATGCGAATAATCTCTTGAACTCGATCTATCTCGTTTATATTTATACTTGTCTCTTTGATCATCATATCTTGATCTGCGCGGTGATCTACTAGATCTAGATCTATTTTCAGGACTTTTAGAACGTTTTCTGCTACTCGTATGACTTCGAGATGATTCCATATTGTTGTATCTCCATTCGGACGGTTTGTTCTTTTGTGAACTTTCCAAAATCATTTGATTATCCTTTTGCAATCTATTAACTTCGGACCAAGACGTAGTAGGATTATTTTGCATTGTTGACCAACTTGACGAGCTATTACTATTCCATTCATTGTTAAAATTATCGGGATATACATTTCTTGAATTCCAATTGGAATTAAAATTCTCTGTAGTAAAGCTTTCTGATTGAGAAAACGAAGAAGACTGATAATAAGTTTTATTACATTGCATCGTTGTTTGATTTGAATACGAATCATCTGTATACGTGGCACCAGTATTATCTTGATATGTTGGAGGAACAGTATGAAATGACATAAATTGATTAGCTGACTTATCCTCTGGTATCGCAGCAGGAACTGGCATATTATAAGACGGCGGAGGTTGATTAAAATTAGTTGGTGGAAAATTGGGTGGTGGTTGACTAAAATTTGGCGGAGGAAAAGTTGATGGTGGTATAGAATAATATCCAGCATTTTGCATTTGCGTTACACCAGAATTCCAAAAATATTGTTGCCCGGTATTTGGTGGAAGATTTGCCATTTTTCCAAATAAAATTTACCTACAAGTTTATAAAATATCTTTTATAAAAGTCAAGATCAATGATATAAAAATATAATTACTATTACTTCATTAAAATAGTAGTGTATTTTTATATCAAAATAAATTACATAATTGCATTATTTATATCAAATATTATTAAAGAGAGTTGCATGTAAACAACTTTATATCAAATTAGGTTATGCAATCTCACTATGTATAAAAATGAGAAATATTTATATAAATATCTTTATTTTTATCTTTGGACACTATTATTTTTATAATTTTCTATTTTTTTTACCTTTTATGTGTGTGTATGTATATATATATATATATATATAAAACACCGAAAATACAGAAAATATATTAATCAAAAGAATAATTAACGAACTACTTGCATAGTTCTATTTTTTGTTCACCATTCATTTAATCATTACTTTCACTGGATTCAATAAAGTATACAAAAACAATATTTTTTTAAAAATATATACGTTAATTCTGTATGAAAAGCAATTATTTAAAATATTCATAACGTTATATACCCAAAAAGTATGAACAATGTTACCAACTTATTCTTACAATCTGTCAACCAATTTACGTGGGTGGGTTGAAAAGTTTTGAGCTTAACATAGAAACCAATTTTTATTCGGTTAAAAATTCAATTTTATTTAAAAGAAAACAAAAATAAAAAGTTTATTTGTTTGTCGCGGCTCAAAACTTTTCAACTCACCCTTGAAGATCTTACATTTTATTCTGGCTTAATTAATTAATTATAAAATAAAGAAACAAAACTTTCGATCGGGTTTTCATTTACATTTTTTCAATAAAAAATCACCTTGTTGAACAAAGCTTATCGAAATAAAAGAATACAAATATTTTTAAACTTTAAAAGACTTTAATTTAAATTGGATACATTTTTCATTGATTTCGATATTATTTAAATAAACAATTCTTAGGACTTGACATTTCGACAAAATTTTATAAATATTATATTTAAGTAAAAATAAAAAACAATAATATTAATTATTTGATCTTGCGTGAACTTTTATTAGAGAAAAATAAAGTAAATATTTCTATTTAAAGAAAGCAAATTATAAAATCTCAATTATTTATCATAAATATAAAAATTTGTAAGGTATGTACTGTAAATACGATGCGCATGCGCATTGACGTCAAACGCACATGTACGCTAATGCAAAATTCAAATAGCTCGCTCAATTCAATTATACACGAATACTTATGGAAAAGAGACCTAATTTATTTTTAGTATAAATTTATTTGTCTCATTGTTATCATAGTTTACAATATTAACGTTCATTATAGTAATAGTTATTTGCTAGATTTAAAGTAGTACGATATATATTACAGATTTGCACGAAAAAGTAACGAAAAGAAAAGTAAAAGGAAAGGAAAAGAAAAAACAGATTGTTCGTTACAATAAATTAACTTCATATCGCTTAGATTTAGTTTCTCATAGTTTAGATTTAAGTTTCGTAATAATTCGTCCTTCTGTAAGTTCTATAGTTACCGGTAAAAAACAGTATTTATAATTCTTAGGCAGCCATATTTGATTTAGTCATAGAGAATCCAACATGGGCGTTCCTTTTTGTCGTCTGCAAAGTGTCAAATGCTTTGCGTTATTTAAAGATGGACGGGATTAGTGATAGTATATAAAAATAATTCATTATCGGTACAAAAATTTTGAAACAAAGATCTGAATTAACGAACGTTATTTAATGAGTTTTTGTGATTAAATTATTTCTATCTTTGAGAAACGACAAATGTACATTTCTTATGTATAATAATTAATATTCGCAATAGAATATACACATACAAAAAAAGGATTCAAGCTGGTTTATATATATCAAAGGTTTCTGTGATTGAACTATTAATTATTATTAAATAAATGATCGTATTATAAAAACGTAATAAATCTATACGCATCGAAGAGAGATATATCAAATAGTTACTGTATATCGATTATTGAAAACCATCGAAAAGAAGGTTATGCTTGTCGTCAAGTGAAAAATTTTATGTGTGTGTGTGTATATATGCGTTCGTGTTACTATGCTATTTATTCACTTTTAAATGAATAACGAAAGAACAACATGCCGAATTATTAATAATATTATGTGTGTTAGAAATAAGATAATTATCATTTTAAATTATCGTGTGCCTGGATGTTCGAATTAACTAATTTCGTTTATCTAAGATATATAGAATATATATCTAGAAATCATTTCCTTTTATTGGAAATTATCTGATATGTCATAAAGGTTTGATCTGAAAAGAAGGCGCTGAATATTTTGACAAATTTGTATCAACGTCATACAAACTAATTTAAAGATAAGAAAGAGATTTAAATATATTTGTAAAATGTCTGGAAACAATGCAATGACAGTAGATACGCTCAGAAGTGGGAACATACACAATCGTAATTCGACAAGATCAACGCTTTTGAAAGTAGTAATTTTGGGTGACGGCGGAGTTGGAAAGTCTTGTCTTATGAATAGATTTGTATCCAATCATTTTGACGAACACAATTTTTATACCATTGGTGTAGAATTTTTAAACAAGGATATAGAAATCAATGGCGAATCTTATACTTTACAAATATGGGATACAGCAGGACAAGAAAGATTTAAGACTTTGAGAACTCCGTTTTATAGAGGTTCTGATATTTGTCTTTTAACTTATGCTGTTGATGATAAAACAAGTTTTAAGAATTTAGCTCTGTGGAGATCAGAGTTTCTTTATTATGCGGATGTCGAGGAAGCATCTACGTTTCCATTTATAGTTGTAGGAAATAAGGTTTGTATTGTATCAAAGAAAAAAGGATCATTTGTCTAACCATAAATGTTGTTTTCCAGGTGGATGTTTTGGAAACGGAGAAACAAGTAACCACAGAAGAAGCCAAAGCGTGGTGCGCTGAAAATGGGGATCCACCATTGGTAGAAACGTCTGCGAAGGATGCTACTAATGTAGAAGCAGCTTTTGCAGCAGCAGTTGCTGCATGGGCACGATTGGAAGCTAGATTAGAACATCCGATAGTTGAAGATACCGTCGACCTTTCCAAACAACTGTCTCCACAACGTTCCAGTTGCTGTATGCCTGTTTCCGGTGCCGAGTAGGTGAAAGATTAAAATGTTAATTATTCTTTTGTTTTTTTCAATGAAATAATGCATGAAACATTTTCCCCCAAAGATCTACATTTGTGACCAGCTAACTGAAATGGGTTCTTATGAAGATATAGACATGATAAGAAATATTTATGATACGAATCAACATTTTTGGAAGGAACACTTTAGAGTTTCTTTACAATTGGAAGGAACATAATGCGTCTCAAATTGAACTAATTCCTAAAATGGTGTTTAAACTGTATTTAGGATGTATAAGGACATTGTACCAAATAATGTAAGAGAGAGATTATTATTTTCCTTTGATTTCATCGATTGACAATCTACTTATTTAGTTTCTTAACATTCTTCCACAATAGAAAAATTCATTTTGTAGCACTTTGTTCGATATTTGAGATTCTTTTTAATTATATCTAACTAGGTAATTATACATTCTCAAAAATTATTATTTATTATTTTTTTATTTTTTTAAAATTAAATTCAATACGTTTTTAAAACACGCATTCCTTATACCTCTCGTGCTTTTTCTTCTAGGTCTAACAAAATAATTTGAAGAGAATCTTGCCCAGCCTTCAATACTCGGTTGTTAATTACGAGGCCAATGTTTCAAATAAGCTTGAAATAAGTCCATGAACAAATATTACGGTATAATATTTCTTGTATGTTATATATAACAATTTTTTAGATGTTCTCTCAAGAAAAATATTTATGTTATTAAAGTTTCTGCACAAATCTTATTAACAGGACTGTTAGTTTTAATTTGCTATTATTATAGTACGTGCTCCGTATATATTTGAGTATCTTACATACAAATTATAAAAAATTAATTAACGTGTAAGATACGTATTGCTGGAATATTGAAAAAGAAAGGGAAAAAAAAGAAACAAAGAGAAAGAACGATTAATAATATTTCAAAATGTGCTTTACACAGATCATAAGCTATTGACAGTATTTTAAGTGTTATACACATCATCAGCTTGTGATAAATATAGTAATAATACTATTAATAATAAGAATAATAATTAATGATCATTATAATAATAACGATAATAATAATGAATTGTTTTATTACGTAAAACATACAACATATATAAAGATTATAATTAAGCTTCGTAACGTAAATTTGCCTTATCATTGCAGTATAAAATTAAGAACAGTATGATAACTATATTTCTATTTATGATATATTCCTTTAAATTATCAATCTGTGTACAGAATGTCTGAGATTTTTTCAGCTAAGCTGTGTCAGCGTATTTTATCTACGAAAATTAGAACAAAATGTTAAATAAACATAGGTCATTTAAAGCTTTATTTAAAAGCTGCAAACATTTATTATGTATTTGATTTGTGTAACAGAAATACTCGAATCGTTGTAAGAGAGTATCAATGCAAATTTCTTGGTAAAAGAGTCAAGCATTTTTCAGTGTTTTCGAATGTACATTTATAATCACCTAAAACAGATTCACTATCCTACAGCAGTGTCTATTATTTTTTTATTTTCATACATAAAATATGCTAACACCATTTGGTTAGAGAAACCTCAGATATCCTGTATATATACACATAATATCTACATTTATATGTATATGTATACATATAAAATTAACATTTGTATAAGAAGTACAGAATATTTTGCGCTAACTGTTTGACAATTTTCCTACGAAAATAATAATAATAATAATAATGATAATGATAATATGCGAGATAAAAAGAAAGCTTTTTGAATGAGTGTGTACATATCTGATAAGTTCTTAAAGCAATAGAATTCTACTTTAAAGCTTTAAAAATGTGTTATGCGCTATTGCAGAAAAGTACACGAATATATTGTGTAATTGTTCTTAAGTAAAAAATTTAAAATCAATCATGTACACGACATGCATGCTGGTGCTTTTTGTATAGCTCTATGTGAAACGTATAAATTTATAATAAAATATGAAGTAATAACTTTGGTTGTCATCCAAATCCATATTACAAAAACTATATATTACTTTTTAATTTATAGAAAAAAGAAAAATGACAACTAATTTACTATTTTATTTTTATTATATTACTTACCCATCGTGATAGAATAACAAAAAATTCTTTTTTAGACGATTCAAAAGGTTTTTAAAGTAAAATTTGGAATGAACAGTTATAATGAATGTTTATTTAATTGAAAAAATATATGAAATAGATGTCTTTTATTGTAATATTCTTTTTTTTTGTAGGAAATTTTCTTCATACACTTCATACACTTTAAAAATTATATTATTATTTAATTAATTAATTAATTTAAAGTAATAACTCTTTAATCCTCACAAAACTGCATTAAAGCAGTTATTTTATACATACGTTCTCATCGATACAATACCTTATGCCCTTTTACAAATATTTTTTTTTTTTTTTTTTTTTTTATTAATGTAACAAATAGTAGTCTTTTTACAAGTTCCGTCGCTTAAACAAATCTAATAATTAAAGTAATAATAGAAATAGTCAAATGATTATTGGAAAAAGGTATGCATTGAAAAAAGTATTTTCCATACAATCCACAAGTTTCTTATTTAAATGTTTTCTTTTTTTTTAATAATATTTACAATAATATATATTATATATATATATATGTATATGTATATACATAATATATATTTTACATAAAAAGATTAAGATTCTAGCTCCTTGTTTTCTTTCTGCAAAATTATCGTATGTTTAGTCATCGCAAATATATTTCTAATTCTATTTTACAAATAAGTTCCACTTGATGTCAGCATAAAAAGCGAATATGTGCATAGCTGTATTCAATAGAATACAATTAAGTAAGATAATTGTACAATCATAGTTCATTTGTGATTCTATATATGTATATAATAGTTATAGCTGTGTAAATATTCTAGTTGAAAATCAACAATTTACTTTCAGTATTGATAAAGGATTTTTTCTTGCATAGAACCACAAACATACTATATTGTAATCGTATTACGCTTCTATTTGTTGTAAACTCTGGATATTTTCTTCTTTGTAAAAAGAATTACCATACACGCAACATAATAATATATACATAACGGAGCAATAGAAATAATAACGGATTATGCCACTATATTTAATTACTAATGACAATGTTCTGTAACATCCACAATTACGGATTTCTTCCATCCAAAAAGAAAGTAACCGATGGTAGCACCAAGAACTACGGCGAAACAGAGCCAGGTGTTGAATGTCATGAAGATCAGCATTAAAAAGTATGAAAGGATGACTTGTATAATATGCAGGAACGTTTGGAAACAATGCATCCATGACAGCATTGTGGGCCTGTGCAACATATACATTTAAAATAGTATTTAAAATATTTATTAATGAATAATATACATCGATAAACCCATTGAAGCTCTTGCAAAAAAAAAAATAAACAGAAATCAAAGTCTTATATGTAACTTATTGAATAATAAATCTTCAATCGTGTTTTATATGAAATAGAAATGAATTCTATGTTGAAGAATAGTCATGCTGAAAATATGTTGTAACAATAACAATGAGAAAAAACAATTTATAAAAGAGAATAGTATTCGACTACATTGTCACACAAGATTTTCTCAACGATGATTGACAACATTTATCAAGACATTGACCGTGCATAAATTGTTAATGAAGAAGGTGGTATTGTCACAAAAGAAGGGTATTACTATTTAAAGAGAAGGAAAGAGAAAGAAAGAGAGAGAAAGAGCCCATCGTAATGCGATTTATTGGCTATAGTACTAAAGACATCACACGAGAGAAACTGTAACTAAATAAAAAATCAAAATTTAGCAGGCCGTCAAAATATATTTACTTACGGCCGTTTATGGATTACCTCACCGACCATACTAGAAAGGGCAAAATGGATAAAAGCTAATTAAATAAATATTGTTCGTCGTATAATAATACGTAACATATAACATAATCTACATTTATATTACAAATACATAGAAATTGGGAACTCACTGGACGACTCTGTTATCTTCAGCGACAACATTCTTCTCTTGAGGCACAGTAACGCTTCTATATTGTAAGGAACTATAAGTTTTCCAGAAAAGATATTCCCGGTAATACTTTAAACCTTCGTAAAGTGTAGCCATAATCATTATACCAATCATGGATCCAACTAAACCACCGACTGATGTTATTTTCCAAGATTCAAAAAGTATGGTCTCGCAATAGCCGCCATGGAAAACCATCTGAACACAAAAATTGAATTTTCTTTGTGAAAAAGGAAAAAGAATATTTCTCATTAGCGATTAGTGATAAATACGTACCGACATACCATGCATTCCCATACTATTGCTACCATCAGTAGTAGCTGCTGAGTGTTGCATGTGACCACTATGGTCCATATCAGCATGATTCATATTTGCATGATCCATACTACTATGGTCCATACTTGTATGATCCATACTTGCATGATCCATACTCCCATGATCCATACTCCCATGAGACATATGAGCTGTGTGCGAGGAATTCATCTTTAATTCTTTTAATCGTCAAATATCTATAAAAAGAAAGAAATAAGGAAAAAATTAATTTGATTATAATTTATTTTACTTATTTTTGAAATTATTCCTCGGTTAAACCACTCCCCCGTTGTAAATGACAATAAGTAACGGTTTATAAGACCATCAAAATAGTTTCTAACGTTTATAATAGCTCTACCTACAAGCAAGAAATATAAAAAGAAGGAAAACAGCAACAACAGAAAAATGAAATAAGGAAAAAAAAAATCGTTTCTCTCTCAGACAACAAATAGCCAACTTGATTGTGGACTTATATTCGTAAATGGAGTTTTAAGATAGAAAGAACGGTTCATGACTCGCGTGCGATCGTGCAAGCAGAACGAACTACCACGATAAAAAACAAACTCGGCAAAAACTTTCTAAAGGAGATCTACGGATGATAGGATCGACGTCGTGTTTATTTTTTTTTCCCCCTTTTTTTTTTCTTCTTACACGGATGTAAGAGCGAACATTCCATTCTAATGCTAAAGTGAGAAAGAGATATACATATATATATATATATATATAATGAAAATGAAAGAGAAAGAAAAAAATATAGGGAAAAAGAGAGAGAGAATATTACCTTAAGTATCACTCAAAACGTGATTGCAACATTGGAGAATAAACTACGTTGAATTCGCATTAAATCTATGTAATTACAGTTGGATTTATCATCTTTTTGTTTTTTTAAATATAGATAATACAAAGTAATGTACAAGTTTTGTTTGTAATTTTTTTTTCTATTTATCATTTTTATATTTGTATTATTGCTTCTTTTATCAGCATAAGATATGGTTTTTTCGTAATTAATCTCCTCGGAGTAAAAAGAAAAAAAAAAGAAAAGAAACAAAATGAGAAAAAAGGAAAGAGAGAGAGAAGGAAATATAGAGATAAACAATTAAACTGATTTGTCAAACGAAATGCAATATTTGGAATAAATTCTAGTAAGTTTGTATAATTTTATCTTCGAATGAAAGTAGTTAGTATGAGTAGCATGATTAAAAAGAAATAATATACGTGCGGTGAAAGAGTTAAATATGAATGACGATTTATTAATATCTCATTTGAATTAAATATATTAAAATATTCGAGCTAAAATAAATAAAATTGAAAACGCGTATATGTTTTATTTCGTTTCTTTTTATCAATCCTACGATACATTGTATAAATAAGTAAACTGTTTTTAAATTCTTTTTTTTTTTGTCAATGATACCATTGTTTAATAGTTTATTGTTATCTAAGAAGATACGATAAATAAACACACGTACATATCAATGTGTATAACTTAAAAGAAGACACGTAATATTTTGAGACCTAATTATTCTGACGTTCTTTTTTTTTTTTTTAAATACGAACATTTTTGTTTAATCGTTTCTAACGAAAAAAGAACTAAAAGTGGCGTGAATTTATTTCCGACAAATTATCATTCGGAATGAATTATTACAAAACGTGCAAAAATAATTAAAAGATAAAAGAAAATGATTAACTTAAACAAAAATGACGAGTCTTAATATTATCGATATAGTTTGAAAAATGTTGAAATTTTGTTTTTCGATCTCAAACTTACTTTTATTTAGAAAATATAAAAATTAATACAAATAGAGTTTTTTAAATCGATGCCAAGTAAGATAACGCCTACTTTTGTTTTATTTTCTTTTTCCCTCTTTCTCTCACTCTGTTTTATCCATTGATTAAACGTCATACGATATATTGTTTCATACACGATCACGTTTACGTTTACAAATATAATTATCATTGACCAGCCTTTTGCGAAGTGTAAGCGTTCGATAAATTGTTTATTGAAAAAGAACAAAAGAGTTAGAAATTATTCAAACAGACTGATACTAATGCATTCAAATTTCCCGCTCCAATTTCAATTGTTAATGATTAACCAATCATCTAATCGTAATACATAAAAATTGTTCGATTTTTTTAATTGGAATAATGAAAATAAATCTTTTTAGGTTATGAATGATAAAATAAAGCGACAACAAAAGTTCTATTGTTCTATAAACGTTTTCTTGACATTAATTAAAGTTAAAAAGGAAAATCGAAGAAAGTCACCGGTGATAATTAGGTGTACATACCTCGATTCGATAACCATAAGAGTATGTATATATATATATTTCTTGAGATAATTACCAAGATAATTTATAAATGCTTTTATCATTCATTATTTTATACTTTAATTATTAAACCAATAATTATCATTTAATTGGAGTAATTCACACACAAATATTTAATATTTCCATTATAAAATGGTGTCCAATTTATGAAATATTTATTTTCTCCGTTTTATTAATTTGTTACCAATGCTAAAATACATTAATAAGTGAATTGTTTCTTTGAATTTATGTTAATTTCATAATAAATATTAAATTATTATTTCAATTACTTTTCTAGTTATATGAATAGAAACTATTAGATTTAAATATAATATTAATGATAAAACATTTATAAATTATCTAATAATGAATTGTATATTTATGTGTGAAGGATTATGATTATAAAATATTTATTTAGAATAGATTTGTTTTATCAGAGCCAATAATAGTTTCGTCCCGGAAACCACAGAAGATCGAAATCATTGATAAATGAATCGTTTGGTGGTTAACAAAAATGAAAACAGGAAAAAGTAGTCTTTATGCAAATATTGTTTTAGGTATATCAAAAAAATAAAAAATACCCATTTAAAATAAACTACTTTTCAGTGTCAAATAAACAAATAGATGATACATATTCATCTGTACTTAATGTAAATAATATTGTAATCATAATTATGGAAAGATAATTAGTATTAATATAAACGTATATTGATTTATGTGTTCTGGATAAATGATAATCGTAATATAAAGTCAAGTTCGTAAATAATTTTGGAAAAATATTCAATGAACATGCACAAATGCATACCATTTGGATAAATCAAATAATTCATATTTATATTATTTTTTTAGGAAAGAAATCTTCAAATTATTGAAGAAGAAGGAGAGTCATTAAACGTGGAAACGTAACCTCAAAAGGAGCCAAGATAGGACAGGAAGGGGAAAGTACAAGGAAGGAGGAAAAGGACTTCACCAAGGACCTTCGAAAGAACTCGATCGTAATTTGTCACGCAACAGGAATCTCTAATATTGAAATTCCAATATTCCCTCGTGAGTATAAGTATGAACGAGAACGGCAAAGGATAAAGAGAGAAAGTTGATAATAAGAACTTTCCCAAGAAAAATTTAAGATATGGATTTATTAAGAATTATTAATCGTTTTTATTAGGAATTAAAATCCATTAATGAGTTAGAGGCAGTTCATCATTAGCGATAGTATTTATATATATATATATGAATTTATTTGTTTGATATTAAATATTATAAGTAGTTGGAATTTTGGAATAGAAAAGAGATAATGAATTTTATTATTTAAACAAAGTTATATGTAAAATATTAAAGTAGGTTTTAAGAGTATCGATCAACCAGATTGAACATACATTCAACTATACACATGTATAGGTATATATATATATATATATATGCATATATAAAAGATGAACGGTCTCAGTGCACTTAGGAAATACAAATTACTGGTGGTAGGGGACGGACAATATTGGCGTCAATTGGTTCAACTACAGCAAATCGTTATAAATTAACATGAGTAGATATAGTATGTGAGGTGGGAGTTCCAAAAAATTATCCTCTTTATCGATTTGTTCGATTTCTTCTTTTACAATAAGTATCACGAATATTTTTAACGGTTCTTTTCTTTCATAAGAAATAGTTACCAAAAGAAATAAAAAGAAAGTAAAGAATTTAAGATCTAGATTTCGTTATTCTGTCAGGTGGTGTAGAAAGTGACCGCGTTTGGAGATTGAATACTTTGTAAGTTTTAAGAAATGCAGTAATAGAAGTGAGTAAAAAGAAAAAAATCTTATTTAAAAGAGGGGATAGAAGTGAAGGGTGGGCTGGTGGGGAGAGACAATAATAAAATAAAGATTTTACGATAAGTTTACCTCCTTTCAATTCAGCTTTTTTTCTCTCTCTCTTTTTATCTTTCTTATTTACGGATACGTTGTTTCGAGACGCAATAAATATTAAATAACATCGTAATCAATTATGTTTTTATTGTACACGAGGTCAATTATTATTAATTCCATTCATTTCAATCCTTTTTTTATATAATAAATACAAAAGATTCGTACGATGTTTATTTCTTTTTTAGTTCGTGATGTTCCAAGATATTTAATGTATTTATATACCTAAATATTGTGTATGCGTATGAGTACTAGAAGTACACATGAATGTACAAAAACATGTGCTCGAGGATGCAGGGAAAATGTGACAACTCCGCGATACCATATGCAATGATTTTATAAAAGAAACATTAATGAGAATTTGATTTTAGAAAAGAAATTAACGTCCAGAACGTATTACGTGACTAATACGTTTGTTAAAAAGAAGAACAGCGAGGTATCTTGTTACGAAATAAATTCAGCTTTACTGACTACTATTAGAAAGACAGAGACAGATAATTAGAGTAAGAGTAAAAGAGAAAGAGAGTGGGAGAGAGAGAGAGAGAGAAAGATAAAAATCTATCTATTTATCTATATTGATTTTTTTTAAGGTCAGAACGTATAGAAAATATATTGTACTTTTTTTTTTACTTAATCCTCGTTACTCACCGTTTTTCTTATTTTTTTGTTTCTCCCTTTTTCTTTTCCCTTTCAATTAGTGAAATCGAGAGAATATTATAGGTTATTTCTTTCGTTCGTTTTTTAGATAGCAACGGGATTTTCTTTAAACACGCGAAAAGTTACAATCACTTCGTTCGACTGTTCGGCTTCGTGTCCAACTCGGATCTGCGAACTCGTGTTTAAAAGCGACTTAACGCCCTAGCACAGGCACTCGCAGATCCCCTAACAAACTGTTAGTTGATCCATTCCTCGTCGCCATCGTTCTGATTCTGAAGGAAAAACCAGTCACAGACAGAGAGAGAGAGAATGAGAAAGCGAGAAAGAGAGAAAGAAGAGAGGGAAAGAGAACGTGCACTATGACTTCAATTGCAAGTGCAAGCACGTGACATAATATTATAATGATGTTTCGATTTGACGATAGATGGTGATAGTTTTCAAATATTTTGAACGGAATTTTGTTTGTCGACTAACAATAAGTAAACTTTTATTTATTTGCATTACAATTGAAATGAATTTATTTCATAGAAAATATCTTTTATTCGGTAATCACTTATGTTATTTTATTTGTTTACAATAATAAATATATGAAATAAGTTATATTGTATATATGTATATATCGATATAACCCTTTAGTTACCGACAGTACCGTTAGATAACGTTAGATTACAGTTTCTTCCGTTTTCTTTTTTTCCCGCAAATTAATAGTGGCGCCACGAGCGTACAACGATATATCGATTAGTTGACATTGTTTATCGTGTGATTCAATTGAAAAGTTTTGTAAAAAGTATCGGAACAGAATTTATCCTTCGTTATTTTAGTTATCTTTGGTTAAAATTAAAATCATTCGTAATGTCGATTATACCATTGTGGCCGAGTTTAAGACCAAGAGCAACGGATCCTTTATGGTTTGATGCTGACAGTCCCATTGACGAGGAATCTGAAGTAGCTGCCTTGGAAGCAGAACATCAAGCATGGGTAAATTGAGATAATTTCATTTCGTTTGTTATATTGTATAATTTTGTATTCTGAATTAATGATTTTTTTTCAGAGAGAACATGTCCGTGTTCAAGGATACGATCATATACCGATCGGGAAAACTGTCAGTGATGTAAGTTAACCTCACTTTATTTTCCCATAACATATACTTAGTTAACTTGTAAAATATCATTCTAGTTTTCTACATGCTATTTAAATATTAATATTTATTATTTCTTCTATATTTATAATTTATTTGATTAGTTTTTAATAATAATGATCATAAGTTTTATTCCAACGAATTGCAATATTATTTTAATGTTTTGTTTTGACATATTTAACCGACTGTAAAAAATGGAGGAATCTATTTTTAGTGACTTGAATATTTTATCATTGATTTTATTATTATACTATTTCGAAGTTTAGTAAAAAATCATAAGTTATATATAAAATTATTTGTAACAATATAAGTAGATAACCAGTTATCCCAAAAGTATGAACAGTTGTCATCATATAGGGGCAACTTACCGACAGTAGAAAAGATAGGAATGAAACAAAAATTGATTATATTTTTAAATTTAATCATTTACATTATATTACAAAAAGATCACAAAAACAAACAAATATGTTGTCTTGTTTATTTATTTATTTTCTTTTTTTTTCTTGATAATCATGATAATTATTTGGTACATGCAGTTTAGAGGATCAGAGGAAGAAGAAGAAGAAGAAGAAGAGGAAGAGGGTGACGGGGAGGAGGAGGAAGAGTCGGACACCCATGAAGAAGAAGAAGAAGAATTAGATGAAATAGACATGGAAGTGAGCTATCCTCATCAACCTCAAAGATCTAGTCCAACGGACACAGTGACAGATCCTGTGTCCATAAGAGTGGTCAACAGTGTCAACGCGCATACTCCTCGTTATACTTAATTAAGATATTGCATTTCCTGATTAACGCGACTGATCGGCTCTTTTAGCTTACGTCCCGTTTAATTTCTATCTAGGAAGAATAATTAACGTAATAGGAATAGAAAACGAAAAATGAACTAAAAGAAAAGGAAAGTTAACTATTTATCTTTAATCGAACTAACGCATTTAATATATCCGTTAATAAAACTTCATCTATACGGTGTGTACATAATTAAGATTAATATTATTCTATTTTGTTTATATTTTGTTTTTAAATTTATACATAAAGAATAAATATATATATATATATATATAAATTATATATTGATTAATATATAACTATATTTTATTAAACTATACAATACTATATTAAAAATATAACAATAATATATACATATATATATTATTTCTTTATATGAAAATAAATTCGTTCATTAGCAAGGATTAAAAGAAAAAGTAATTCGTGAGAACTGCGTAAATTCATTCGCGTGGTAACAACGACCTCAGAAATATCGAGTAAGCTAGTCTATGTTTCCGAGTGATCAGCATTTCGGATATGTGAATCGTGTTAGGTCAAGAACCCGTCCCGATAGAAACGTCTCATCGTTACAATGTTACCAGCATATATTTCTATACACACATACACACACATATATACATGTATATATATATATATATATATATATATATATTAACAAAATTGCATTTACATGTATATTACGAGAACGTTGATCATAATGATTCTACTTCTATCATGACACGAGAACACACGTTCATTTCCTAACATCAAATAACAACCTTGTCTCGTATATACTCTCTCTCTCTTTCTCTCTTTCTCTTTCTCTATCGTTCTCTCTTTCATTCGTACAATTGAACACATAGGATAATCAGTACTGGAACTTGACTACTCTAGTGGTTTGGTTTGACATACTCGATGAAAGAATACATCTTCGTACCGGTATCGATCTTCTCGCGAAGTGCAGCTCGCGTTCCGTTCTGCCCGATCGAAGCCAAGGGACCTACTCTCTCTCTCTCTCTCTCTCTCTCTCTCTCTCTCTCTCTCTCTTTCTTTCTTTCTCTTTCTCTCTTTCTCTCTTTCTCTTTCTTACTATCTATCTCTTTCTGTCTTTATTCTACACTCTCTTGAACGTCGTCTTCATCTTTCTCTTTGGAGAACGGGGCAAGTCGGTAACCCGCCTCGCTGGCAAAGGGCCGTGGAACCGCATCATGCTCGAGCGGGACACTCTCTGTACACTCAGTATACCCACCTATACTAGGTGTAAGTACACGCGAGAATGTATGATATAGCTATATACAGCGCCGACTCTCTCGGCGTGTAACTGAAGTAAAGCCAGGTTGGTGCCCCCGCTAGGGTGAACGAACGGGTACACTCAGGCAAAAGCGAACCCGTGTGCCTCCTCCTTCTCCTCCACCTCCTCCTCCTCCTCCTCCTACCCTTCCACCCTCCTTCTCTGGGGAGCTTCTCTCCTCTACCAACGGCCTTCTCCTCCTCCTCCTCCTCCTCCTCCTCCTCCTTTTTCTTCTTCTTCTTCTTCTTCTTCTTCTTCTTCTTCTCTTCTTCTTCTTCTTCTTCATGACTCCTTCTCAACTTGCTGATGTTCTTACCTGACGTCACTACGCTATCATCCAGCCCAAAATTATTCTTGTTATTATTAATTCTATTTTTTTTTCTTATTAGCGAGTATGAGAGATGTTGTGTGTATGTTGGGTAGTGTGCCTAGAAAGTTCGCGTTCGTGCCGATTTAGATTTTTATTCAATTCGGTAGGAACTTTCTGTGCAAGCCGATACTCGCTCATGCCATTGGAGGAAGAGGAGGAGGAGGAGGAGGAGGATTGCTTGGAAAGTTTTTGCCGATTTGTACTTTTTAATTTATACATTGGACATAGATTTTTTTTTTTCTCAAATCTTGTTAAGAACTTTTTTGACAAGTCAAGTTCCTATCGATTTATTTCTTTCGTTTAATCTTAACGTCCTATCTTGACATTTTTCTTCTTCTTTTTTTTTTCTTTTTTTTTTTTTTTTTTTATCGAGAAGATTTATTTATTATTTGAGAATTCAAATTTTGTAACGTAGCGAATATGAGTATGAGAGTAACAACGATCGACCCTGAAAGGGGACAAAACGTGGTCTCAAACGCAACGAAACGGCCGGATGGTTCGACCGTTCGACCGTTCGAACATTCGACGTTGCGTTACCTGTAATCCACGTTAAAAGGCTTAATTTGAATTATTAATGCCACGATGGAAGCCCAATCCTAACTATCCTATCGTTACTAACACAATCCACGACTTACACTTTGGGACATTAATCGATTCTTATTGTCTGTTATTGATGTATTAATTTTTTTATAAACAATAGAAAGAAAAAGAGAGAAAGAGAGAGAGAAAGAAAGAGAAATTTAATTATTGTTACCAAAATAATTGATATATTATTGTGTTAAGAATTTCTATACGTTTATTATAATTTTTATTTATGTGAACGGTTACACGTACGTGTATATGTGTGTGTATGTGCAGGCGCTTATATGGCATGCACTTTTAACCAGCATTAATAAATCTTAGGATTTGCGAATTCGAACGTTTCATAGGAATACCATTTACATTTATGAATTAATACTGGTCATACTGGACCCATAAATCTTTCCATTTGTGTAGATGGAATCGTCTGAAAATGATAATCTCAAAGTATCATAGAAATTCTATGGTTACTTCTTAACGATCTTTGGATTATTGTCAAGAAAAATGTATTAAATAAAAGAGAGAGAAAAATCATTCGATCGTATTGCTCGACAAAAATGTCGATCTTTCTTCGGTTAAACGGTTCAACTTTGATTTCCTGGCATTTATGCTTTCTATATTGATAACAAAAAATACGCACACACATACATACATACATACATACACACATGTATACATGTACCTCTCTCTTTCTTTCTTTCTTTCTTTCATTATAATACGAGAACAAATTCTAATCATTCCTTGAATCGAAAGTTATCATTGGTCTAACAGCACTTATGTTAGATGTTGTTAAGTGTATCTTCTAACGAGACATAAGCTAGACAATTTCGATATATCTTGTCATGATTCAT